CTGCTTCTCCAACTGTGCTTTCTGATTCTTTCCTGTCCCTAATTGTGAGTGTTCCCCAAGGTCTTGTCCTTGATTCTCTTCTTTTTTCTCTCTGTTTCTTTCTTGGCCATTCTATCTTCTATCATAGGTTCAGTTATCGCTTCTATGGGAATGATGCCCAAATTTTCATCTGTAGCCCTGATCTCTCCTGTGAGATCCAGATCTGCTTTTCCAACTACCTGATGGGCAGCTCCATCTACATGTCCCACTGATATTTCAAATTCAGCCGAAGTTACTCAATCTTGAAACCTGTTCCTTCCAGAATTCATGACCAAACAGGAGATAGAGAACATTATGAAAAGCAAAATAGATAATTTTGATTACTTTAAATTGAAAAGTTTTTGCACAAACAAAGCCAATACAACTAAGATTAGGAGGAAAGTAGAAAATTGGGAAAGAATTTTTACAACCAGTCTCTCTGATAAGGGCCTCATTTCTAAATATATATAGAGAATTAAGTCAAATTTATAAGAATACAAGCCATTCCCCAATTGATAAATGGTCAAAGGATATGAATAGACAGTTCTCAGATGAAGAAATTAAAGCCATCTATAGTCATATAAAAATGCTCTAAATCACTATTGATTAGAGAAATGCAAATCAGAACAACTCTAAGGTACCACATCACACCTATCAGAATGGCCAACATGACAAAACAGGAAAATGATAAATGTTGGAGAAGGTGGGAGAAAATTGGAACACTACTGCATTGTTGGTGGAGTTGTGAAACGATCCAACCATTTTGGAGAGCAATTTGGAACTATACCCAAAGGGCTATCAAAATGTGCATACCCTTTGACCCAGCAATAGCACTTCTAGGGCTATATCCCAAAGAGATCATACAAATGGGAGAAGGACCCACAAGTACAAAAACATTTATAGCAGCTCTTTTTGTGGTGGCAAAGAATTGGAAATTGAGAGGATGTCCATCAACTGGGGAATGACTGAGCAAGTTGTGGTATGTGAATGTAATGAAATACTATTGTGCTATAAGAAATGATGAACAGGTTGACTTCAGAAAAACCTGGAAAGATTTGTATGGTCTGGTGCTGAGTGAAGTGAGCAGAACCAAGAGAATGTTGTACACAATAACAGCCACGTTGTGTGATGACTAATATTGATAAACTTAACCCTTCCTCGCAATATAAGGATCTAAGACATCTCCAGAGGCCTTGTGATGAAAAATGCTATCCACATCCAAAGAAGGAACTATGGCAGTCGAATTACTATTTTTTCTCTTCCATTGAATTTTGTTTCCTCTTTCTGATGGTTCCTCCTACTGGTTTTAATTTTTACTTACAACATCACTAATGTGAAAATATGTTTAATATGAATGTAAATGTATAGCCTATATCAGATTGTGTGCCATCTTAGGGAGGGTGGTGGGGAGGAAGGGGGAGAAAAATTGTAAACTCAAAAACATATGGAAGTGATTATTGATAAATCAAAATAAATTAATAAACAAAACCTGTGCTTTCCATTGTATGTTCTGTATTTTAAAGCCATTACAATCCAGCCAATTACCTAGACTGGAAACTTGAGTGAACATCAATTTCTCCCTTCTCAACTCTTCTAATCTCATATAATTGAATCCTCTCAATTCTCCCTTGACATTGTTTCTCACACATGTTACTTCCCTTCTATCCTCACTGCCACCATTCTAGCTTGTAACCTCATTCCCTCTAACTTGGTCTGTTGAAATAGCCCCCTAAGCAGTTTACTTTTCTCATGTCTTCCCATCCTCCCATCTATCCTAAATAACATTATCAGAGTCACTTTCTCTTTTAGAAGATGATATATAATCCATTAAGTACCCATTAATTTCTCTGCTATTAGGAACTGACAATGAGAGAGAATTATTCATGTCAGAAATATTCCTAGAATTGCTTCACAATGCAAAATCATAGATTGTCCAAGTGTCAGGAGTAATTGTTACTGAAATTCATTTGGTCCACCATGTTTGGAAGAAAAGAGTTCCTCATGGAAAAGGGGAAGAATTCAGAAGCATTAATGAATTGGTTCTGTTACATAACTGTTAGGGTATGTAGGAAGCTGTGGTGTACTATAAAAGAGCATTTGAACCCAGTCAGAAGACCAGGTTCAACTCTATGTTCTGCTGCCCATTAGCTGTGCTACACTTGGCAAATGATTTACCTTCTGTAGGCTGATTGGATAGGGGAGGAGATGGAAATGACTTGGGTTTCTGTCCTGAGTAATTGGAAAGATGGTAATACCACTAAAAGAGAAAGGTACTGTGCTAGTGGAGAACTTAAATTCAAAGTCCTTTGGAAATTTATTCAATGCCAATGTAGAAATGCTTTTTGGATATTCATTGATAAGCAGTGTTTCAGAGCACTACCTTGAAAGTGGTAAATTAAAAGGAATGCTCCCATAAAGAATCCAGAGAAACATGAGGAGACTTAGAAGAATTGATGCAAAATGGAATGAACACAATCAATAAAACTATGTTAACAACACAAGTGAAAAGACTAATAATGAAAAGAACCAAAATTAAATGTCATGTAAATATAATGACCAATCTTGTCCCTGAAATGCACCTCCCTCCTTTCTTTTCATTAGTGGGAAACTATGGCTAGAGAACATTATATAGACTGTCAGACTCAAATGATATATTGGTTAGTTTTTGGTGAACTGCTTTCCTCCCTCTCTTTCTTTTTTATTCTTTATTATAAGAGATGGCTCTTTGGGAAGGGGAGGGTTATATTTGGAAAAGAATGAAAACGATGTAAAAACAAAGAAAACAAGCTTCTTTTAAAACTCTAATAAAACTTAAATTCCCTGTAGTCACACCTTCCCCCATGACTTGTTCTATCATAATTGCATGTAGCAAAAAACAAAGTGACACATGGATTCCATGTAAGGCAATCTTGGCACCTTCCAAAAATGCTTAAAGAATTTATTTTGTATTCGTGAAGAAAGGAAAGGTCTAAGCTGACATTTTTTATTTTTGTGAAACATTAGAATGGAAAAGAAGACATTTTATTAATAGAATATTAATATTTCAGGGCCACCTGTATATTAAATTCTTCTACCATCTACATAATTCCATTACTTTGAAAAGACACAATAATAGTGCTGTCGGATCATCAAGTGCCTTAATGCTTCAAAGCTCTATTCAGATGATTTTTGGGAGAACCTGAATTATTTGCAAGTGTATATAGTTAGAGAGATAACACACCCTTTTTAGACACTTGCATTACGCTTCAGAGAACCTTTAATTAGAGGTTTGCGATAGGAATTAGTTAGGAACTGAAAACTACCTATCAAAAGGGAAAGGAAGCCTGGTGTTGGTAATGTGGTGCACATATAGAGATGGTTCTCAAGGCAGAGAAAACTCTGTTTATAGAAGGAATCAAAGGTCTTGAACCTTAGGTGTTTGTTTGAAGGTGAGGTTAGAAATGTCCCATAATCTTAAACTTAACATGTCTAAAACTTAACTTATTATCTTTCCCTCCCAATTTCCCCATTTCCTATTTTTCCTATTACTATGGAGGTATGATACCACCATCCATCATCAAATGGGAAAATTTTTATAAAGTGCTTAGCATGGTGCCTGAAATATAGTAGGCACTTAATAAACACTTATTCCCTTCCCGTCCTCCCAGTCATCCAGGCTTGAAACATGTCATCATTGACTCATCATCACCATCATCCTGCCCATCTCCAACCTATCAACAAGGCCTATCAAATTTACATTCTCATCTCTCCTATTTTCTCCTTTCTCTCCTCTGACTCTGCCATCACCCTTGCCCAGGACATCATCATCTTATATCTAGAAAGCTATAATAGCCTGAAGCTTGATTTTCTTGCCTCAAGTCTCTCCCCACTCTGGTCTGGCCTACATTCAGCTGTTGATATGAGTCTAACATCTCGCACAGTGTGCTAAAATTATTTGAAAACCTGTAGATTGTCCGGACATATCTCTGTTTTCCAACAGCGTATTGTTATCACAGTGTATTGTTATTAAAGGGATCTTAGAAATCTTCTGGTCCAACCTTCTCATTTTACAGATGAAGGAACTGAAACCTAGAGCTGGTAAGTCAAACCACTTACCCAAGATCATGAAGGTAGTTATGAATGGCATAAGAATCTGAATCCAATTCCTCATGGTACAAATCTAGGGTTCTTTCAATTATACCACACTGACTCTATTCAGATTAGCAGGATTAGTTGAGACAGTGGCTTCTGATGCTGAGATTTGAGGCCAAAGCATGATTCCCTTTCTGCTATATAAACTGACCAGAGTTCTAAAGTCTTGCTATTAGTTATTCCACTGAATGAGGCAATGCCCTCGGATTAGAAAGGCTTGGTGACTAGGAGGTAAAGGCAAGTTGACTGAGCTCACATTGGTATACAATATAACCCACCAGCACAGGTTAGACCTTATTTTGGCATAAAAGCCACTATATCTAAAGAAGGTTTCTATAACTCAGGCCTTCTCAAGGCTCCTCTCAGTCCTTTTCTCACCCTTTCAATCATCATCATCATCATCATCATCATCATCATCATCATCATCATCATCCCTTTCCCCAAAGTAAATTCCTTATCCTATTTTGTTTTCATTGAGATTTCATCAGTATAGAGGGTTCCCTGATGAGGAAACTCATCTCTTAATGCATACAAGAAACTTTTCCACAATCTATAGTCTTACAGAGCTATCTGGGGTGTTGAGAGGTTCAGTGACTTGCCCAGCGTCATATAAAGCTAGTAAATGTTAGACATGGAAGCTGAAACAAGGCTCTCCAGACTCTATCCATTATTCCATGCTTCCTCTCTCTCCCATTATGTGGGAGAATTGGTGCAAGTCTTTGTGGGAACAGATGAAACACACATACACACACACACACACACACACACACACACACACACACACACACACACGTACAAGCTTAGTGATTTAGGATCGGTAAAATGCATGAGTCCCATGCAGCTTGACTTACCTTGTAATTACATATGGTGCAAAGCAAAGCAGAAACGTCCCAATGAAGGTGCTGATTTTCTTGGTGGCCCGTTGTCTCCGTCTCTTCTGTTCCTCTAGGCAGCGTTCTCTCACACTGCAAGACAATACAAGCAAACAGAAATGTGATTGTACCTATACTGGGGTTTCCAAATATTCTTAGATGATTATGTCATAATCCTGTGATTTCTTCTTATGACAGGATTATTAGATCAGCAAATCAGAAAAATACTAGAGAGTTAAGTTTACCTAGATATCAGAAATGTATTTAGAAAAGTCTCTTTGGTGCTATCCTGTGTACCAAATAAAGAAATGTAGGCTAGATGATAGAACAGCTAGGCAGATGGAGAAGTATTTGAATCACAGGACCCAAAACCTAAGAATGGTTCTATGTCAACTTTGAAGGTGCTTTCTAAATGGAATCTCTCAAGGATGTGATCAGTGCTGTTCAACACTATTATCAATGACACAAGACACAGTGGTATGATCAACAAATGTACAGATGACACAATCTGAGAGGGACACCTAGTATATAGAATGACAAAGAGTCAGGATCCAAAAAATATTTGATACTCTACAAGAATGGAACCAATCTAATGAGAAGAAATTAAGTGGATATAAATGTAATACACAATTTCAAAAGAATTCACTTCACACATACAGGTTATCCCAAAAGTCAGTTTTCAGCTATTAAATCTTAATAGCTTTTGTGGTATAAGATGTATAAGCAGAGGAAGGCCCACACAAACAGCAAGGTTTCTGAAAAAAAATGTGGAAGTCTGCTTTCTTGTCCAATCTACCACAGCTGAGTGACACCTAACACAGGTCTGACTATATCATTCATTTGCTCAAAAAGTTTCAGTGGCTCTCTATTGCCTCCAGGATAAAGTACAAACTCCTCAGCATGACATCAAAAGTCTCCCCACAGCTGTGGTCTTACCTACCCCTGCAGACTTATTTTCCCTTCCCATGCCCTCTGTATATATACATATTTATCCCAATTGAATGTAAGCACCTTCAGGATAGGGACCATTTTGTTACTTTTGTCATATACTCTACACTTAAAACAGTGTCTTGTTCTTACTAGATGTTTAATAAATGTTTTTTGAACTGAGTTGAGTCAACAATGAGTCATTGGTTAGACACAATTCAAAAAAAGCAAATGTGATCTTAAATGTCATAAGAGATGTGGAATGTTCAAAACACTGGAGGTGATGGACTCACAGTACTCTGCCCTTGTTAGATCCTGTGTCTGCCAACAACCATTTAGTAAATCCTTTGCAGGTGCCAGGCGTTGGGCTAAGTGCCATGGATACGGAGAAAAGCACAAATTATTCCTGTCCTCTGGGACCTCATCATCTAGTTAAGGTAACCAAACATGAAGATGACAAGGTACATATATATATATATATATATATATATCTGTGTGTGTGTGTGTACATATATATATATATATATATATATATATATACACACACACACACACACACAGGCAGACAGAGATAGAAAGACAGGGAGAGAGAGTAGTAGGATGGCAATCACAACGGGTAGGTAGGTGGCTCAGTAGATAGAATGCTGTCCCTGGAGTCAGGATGACTCATCTTCCTGAGTTCAAAACTGGCTTCAGACACTAGCTATGTGACCCTGGGCAAGTCACTTCATCTTGCTTGCCTTGATTCCTCATCTGTAAAATGAGCTGGAGAAGGAAATGGCAAAACACTCCAGCATCTCTGCCAAGAAAACCTCAAATGGGGTCACAAGGAGTTGCACATGACTGAAACTACTCAACAACAACAATCTCAAAAGGGAAGGCACCAGCAGATGAACTATGAAGGGTCAGTAGAAAGAACTGAGGACATTCAGCCATGAGAAGGAAAGAATTGCGGGGGGGGGAGATAGCTGTCCTCTTCAAGCTTTTGATGACTTGTCACAAGGAAGAGAGATGATAATTGTTCTGCTTGACCCCACAGAGAAGAACTTGGAGAAATGGGTGCAAGTTGTTAAGAGATAAATTGAGGTTCAAAGTAAAGATAAACATTCTAACAATTAGACTAATCCAAAAATGGGAGGTAGGCTGCTTCAGAAGGAGGGAATGAGCTCCCCTCACCTCAGGTCTTCAAACTGGATGAACACTTGTTGGGTTCTACAATCCCTTGTAGAAGGGATTCTTGGTCCAGGGTTAGATTAAACAGCCTCTTAGGCACCTTTCAGTTCTAAGACTGTGATACCAATTAGTATCATGGTTATTTATATGTTTATCTTACCTCCCATACTAGATTGTAAGCTTTTCAAGGGCAGGGTTTGTATCTTTCTCAGTGCCTAACAATAATAAAAACAAGGTGGGGACATAAGTGAACAAACATTTATACAGTGCCTACTATGTGCACTGTACTGTGTTATTTTTTACAAATATTATCTTCTTTAATCTTCATAACATCCCCGAGAGGTAGGTGCTATTATCATCCCCATTTTATTGTTGAAGAAACTGAGGCAAACAGAGGTCAAGTAATGCCCAGCATCGTGCAGTGTCTAAAATCAAATTTGAACTCGTGTCTTTCTGACTCCATGCCCAGTGCTCTATCTACCTGCCACCAGATGCCTCTGCCTTTATAGGGCACTTCACAATTTCTTTTAAAAAGTTGTTTTACACATATAATAATATATGATCCTTACAACACCCCAGGCATTTCAATTATTATTGTGTTCAGCTTAGGGAGGACACCTTACAGAGGAGTAGAAAGGGCAACAGACATGAAGTCCACAGACCTGAGTTCAAGTATCAACTCTGTCACCTCCTGGCTTCTCTGTAAAACCAAGAGGCCAGCCTAGATGATCTCTGAGGTCCTTCTCCCAGTCTATTATTCTGTGACAGTTTTAGGAAACTGAGGAGAACAAAGGTAAAGTGACCAGTCTAAGGTCACACAGCTGTACATGACATGACAGTCAGGGTCTTCTAGCAGGTGGCACAGTGGAGAGAGAGCTGGCCCAAGAGTCAGGAAGATCTGCATTCAAATCTGGCCTCAGAACCTTACCGGCTGTAGGGCTCTGGTCAGTCACTTAACCTGTCTGCCTCAGTTTCCTCATCTATGAAATGGGGATAATAGCAGCATCTACCTCACAGGGCTGTTGTGAGGATCAAATGAGATAAAATTGGTAAAGTTCTTAGCATGCTACCTGGCACATAGTAGGAGCTTATGAAATACTTGTTTCCTTCAAAATCCTCATCTTTGTCTCTTACACTTCACTGCTAACACAATACTATGCACATAGTATGTGCTACACAAAATGTTGTTATTGTCCTTGAAGAAAGAGCCTTTGGAACAAGAGATCTTAGGCTCTTCTTTTCTATCATGGACCCCTTTGACAGTTGAGTAAAGCCTAAAGACATCTCATAATAATGTTTTTAAATGCATAAAACAAAGGAAGTCCATTATATTGCAATAAAGATGCATATTCCCCTAACCAAGTGCAAGGACTCCATGTCAAGAACCCCTGCTTTAGAAAATCACATACATTGATGTCTTTAGTGCAGGCTAATGGTGATGACTTTTCCAACTCATTTCTTGCAGTGACTGAAAAGTACATATTACATTTGCCTGTTAGCATAAAGAGGCAGAAAAAAGTAGCCCCAGAAAGATAAAACACAATCATAATATTTAACTTACCATAAATATTAGAAAAGCAAATATGTGCACATTTTGTTTGCTTCCATTAAAAAAAGAAACAAACAAATTTCATAACTACAGAAGAAATCCACAGGAGGAATGATGGTCAAGCCTCCACAGCCTATGGAGCTATGCCTTTCCAAGTTAGATGCACTTCGGGGCATGGATACTCTGAAAGGATCCAGCAGTAAAAATAGCCCTGACCACTGGAATAGAGCAAAGAGCCATGGAAATATTAATTAGCAATGTTTAATTCCAAAATGATACTCGCAGTCTTAATGTGCAAAGAGTCTTTCTTTCCTCTCATAGGAGTAGTCATTTTCAGGCTTAGTTGAAATTGTCCTTAATCGTATTTCCTACTTTAGATGGACAATTTAATTTCAATTTCTAATGACTACTCAAATTCTGTCTGATAATTCTCCCCTACCTTTTATTTGGCCTCTACCATATACCATTTTTCTTTAAAATTGTTTTCTCATGTCCCACTGGTCATCAAATGAATTGCAACAGCTTAACTGCCAGGGAAACTGCATATTGCTTGATGAAAATACATCTAAGGTAATGTACAGATGAAAAAGATATTCAAGGCAGAGAAGCATAGTGTGTTATTACATAATTATAGACTGTCAGGGCTGGAAAAGGCTTTGGAAAAATCACCTAATCCAATGCCTTCATATTTACAGGTGAGTAAACTGAGACCCAGAGAGATGAAGTCATTTGCCTAAAATTTCACATCTGGTTAATGACAAAGTTGGTGTGAGAATGCAGGTCTCCTGACTTTTGGTTGAATGTTCTTTTTACAGTCATGGGAAATCTCCCTTAATGAATAAATCAAATTCCAAATGAGCAACGAGATATTATGGAAATGTGAAAGCCAGGGCATAATGGTGGCAAAGTAAGAGCCAGTACCTGTGATTTGCTTTGTTGGGGGACGGTGATCACACTGTACAGTTTTATGCGGGCTTGGTTTTAACCCCTAGCTAGGGGGAAAGTCCGCAGCTGGAAGTTAGAGAATCACAAGGTTTTGGAGCCTGAGACATCACTTGTTCTAGGTCAACTTCCTCATTTGACAGATGACAAGATAGTGAAGTCATTTGCTAAAAGTCACATAGGCATTCAGGTCTAGAATTTTAATCGAAATCTTCTTATTCCAAAGCCAGGGTACCTTCTGGCACTCCTCCAGAGCTCCCCATAATGCCCCAGAAACCTCTTCATTCTGGAAAAACACCTTAGCCCTCAAACTCAGAACTCATACCTCAGAAGTACTTTCTGCCCCCAGGTCCCTCTCAGAGCCTGCATTTAAGGAGGGTACCCCGGGGCAATCATCTTTTAATTTCTAACCAGGTTACACTCCTCTGGACTCCATCCTGCCTCAGAGGGGCCAAGTACCTCCCTCTATTTTTCTGCTTCAATTTTGTCTTCCCCATTAGAA